TGGGAGCTTTCATCCAAATATCGAGAAAGACCAACCCAACGTGTGTCATCGGGGATGTCGGCCGAGCTTCGAGGAGCCGCCTCTGCATTCTTCTCGTGTATGTGGAATGATTCAACAGAAGTCTGGAAGTACGGGATAAGATCACGGATACTGTGCCAGACCCGGCGCTTTTGCAGTTGGTAATTGAAAATCGTGTCGCGTTTGCGTTTCGTTTCCATTTGCTCCGACCGGGTTGAACCGAGGCTTTTTGCAGCAGCGATCTGATTCTGCTTGAAGTCCGGGTTGGGTCGCATCTGTATGACCGGGTGGGTGAAGTCAAAAGAGAACACTTGCCGGTATAGGTCGAGGGGACCAGAATCGCAGGCTTCGATCAAACCCGTGGCGCCATCAAAGATGGCAGTCAGGACAGATTTTGTATTTTCGTTACCCATGACGATAGCACCTTTGTCACACTCGATTCTGATGGGCAGGAGCCGGAGCAATCTAGATAGGCTCTCCCCTACCTCTGGCCCATTGCCTTCCGAAGGCGCAGACGCAACCGTCTCCTTCATCTCGCTATTGCGACGACTGCCATGGAGATCGGACGCCTGGTCAGGCGTATGTCCCGCAGAACCATCCATTGTATCATCTTTCAGTCGGGAATCCAGGGCATTGCTTCCAGGATACTGCGGTCTGGTGAACGATGGCGCGGGCGGCGGGGGGCTGAAGCCCGCAAGGATTCCTTCGTAGGCTGGAGTTCGATTATATACAAACCACTCCAGACCGTAAAGCTTGGCGGTAATGCGACAAGGAAGCGAGTTCGTACTTTTCAGCCCCCCTTGTTCGCCTAGATCGCTATTGTTGCTCGCGCGGGCACTGGCGGTTCCATTGTGTTGGGTTTCATCCTGTGATTGTTGATTGTCGGGTCTACCATTCGCAAGGTCCGTCTGCCTCACTGAGTGTCTCCAGTAATGCCATGTTATAAAACCTCCATGCACAAAAATAGTTTCGTTCACCCCATGGTATCGGATGCCTTTGAAGAAGATCCTGCCTCCCAACAGGGATATCTGAAGCGCACGGATGTCGACATAGGCACGATAGTAATGCCAAGTATAAGCGCGGATTCCGTATGACAAAAGGGTCGCAAAGAGGCGATTGAAGTAGAGTAAGAAGAACAATACACTGGGTAGTATGATCGTTAGCGGGTCACCTTGTAGAGAAAGGGGAGAGTATGAATAGAACCCACAGGATGCAGGAGACAATGAGCTCAAGGAGGAAGAACCTGAATGCATGTTAGCCATTGTAATATGAATGCGACATCAAAACTAACCAGTTGAAGCTTGGATCCGGGGTCAGCGATAAAGCTGTCAAGCTTGTGCTGGCCATGTCGCAATATCCTCCTACCAGAACCCGTGTACTTCGGGAACATGGTGACTCGGCGAAACAATCAATGCGCCGTCAATGAGAGCCGGAATAGGAGGAGAAGCATAGTTCAAACAATATGGAAAATTCGCGACAGCCCTTCAAGTAGTATAGAACAAGGAAAAGGGGGCCCCAGGTTCCTTGAAACTGAGGCTGGAATGGCGGGTTGGATTACAAAAAGATGGTGGAGAGGACGGGGAAGCTCCGACGGAGGGACGGGCGGCGGACGCGCACTAGACCAGCTTAGCTCAGACTAGGCTGCCGTCACGGAACCAGTCACAGAGTGTCAGTAGGCGGTGTCTCAAGCTAGAGCGGAGGAATGGGCCTGATGGATAAGGATCCCACCCCCCCGATGTCCACGCAATATTCACCGCACGACCTTGCTTTCTCTCCCACCCGTCATGCGAGGGAGCTCTTCGCTTTGGAAGGTCTTGGGAAGTTTTCAGCTCCACGATTATACCCGTCCGATGATCATGTCCGGCGCTTGGTGACATTCTGGTGGTCTGAAACGGAATGCTCTGCCCGCGGACACTGCCTTGAAAGCGCACGCGGTCAACTACCGCGATTACCGATAACTTGTTGATCATGAGTAGCATTTCATCCTTCGGTGGTACAGGCTCGAGCCTGGCACGAGCGGTGGTGATAGTCGCTGGTGTTTCTGCGCTGGTAGCTTCACTTCTGTCTCTCCTGTGAGCAAGCTCTCCTTCCCCGCTGCCCCTGGTGGCACCCCGAAGGGTACATGTGCTGATAACAAACGATCATCTCGGTCTTAGGTCCATATGGCTTCAGACGTACGACCATCCAGACCTTCCATCTCATCCTAGTTCTGTTCTGATCGTGCCATAGGAAAAATTATCGAAAACCACTCCTCCAGCGATATGTTGTCCGCATACTGTTGATGTCCGTCTCCACTTGTATGGACAACCATGTTGGCGCAATGCTGATTGCAATAGGGTCCCTATCTATGCGGTTTCCTCCTGGGCTAGCATTATATCCTTGAAAGCGGCGATGTGGCTGGACCCCGTTCGCGATGTCTACGAGGTAAGATATGCGCGCCGACAACTGGCTGGCCACATGCTTACAGTGCACTGCAGGCGTTCACGATCTATACCTTCTTCCAACTACTCATTAACTTTCTTGGAGGCGAGAGAGCATTGATTATAATGACTCATGGACGTCCTCCAATCCAACATGCTTGGCCATTGAACCATATCCTGCCCAAAGTGGATATCTCCGACCCTCAGACCTTCTTGGCTGTCAAGCGTGGGATTCTTCAGTACACATGGCTTAAGCCAATCCTGGCTATCATCTCTATTGTCATGAAAGCGACGGACACTTATCAGGAAGGCTATCTGGGCTTGACATCGGGGTATCTCTGGACGGGTATCGTGTACAATGTCAGCGTGACCATAAGTCTCTATTCGTTAGCCATGTTTTGGGTCTGTTTGCACAACGACCTGGCACCATTCCGTCCGGTTCCTAAGTTCCTCTGTGTCAAGCTTATCATTTTTGCTTCTTACTGGCAAGGCTTTTTTCTGTCCATCTTGCAGTGGCTGGGTGCTCTATCCAACGGCGTGGCGGGATATACACCCGACAATCTCGCCGCTGCGATTCAGGACAGTTTGATCTGCTTTGAGATGCCATTTTTCGCCATTACCCACTGGTACGCTTTCTCCTGGCATGACTACGCCGACTCCACCATTTCAGCTGCCCGTCTGCCTGTGAAGTTTGCCCTTCGCGATTCCTTTGGTATCCGCGATCTTATTGAAGACACGAAGATGACCCTTCGAGGAGAAAATTACGAGTACAGACTCTTTGATTCCGGTGATCACATCATCCCTCATGCCGAGTCCAACTCCCGTGTCAGGCGAGTGATGCACGGCATGCGGTATGAGCGTGGGGGCAAAGCGAAGTACTGGATTCCCAAGCCTGGCGAGGTTAACAGTCGGACGCCATTGCTGTCAGGGTCTGAAGGAAGCAGTCGCGATCGACGAAGCAGCACGCTCAGTCGATTTCGATCAAACAGTGACATTGAGGAGATGGGTCTTGACGATGAGGATGAGAGACTCTTTGCCAATGCACGCACTCTTGAATTCGGTGATTGGAATGTAAGTCAAGCTGTATGGCGCTCTAGTCCAGGACATCGATGGGCTAATTGCAATCAGTATCCCGTGATCACGGCCAATGAAGTGCCGGAGGATCAACGGCAAATACACCACCGAAGCTCCCCAAATCTACAAAATCCTGGAGCGGTGAAACGGACGCGAAAGCACCGTAAGTCCCGCATCAACAATGGCGGAGGCACCCCACGAAGTGAAGGCAGCTCCCGTAGTTCTCGCAGGGAACCCCCCAACGGTCGCCAGACAGTTCGTCAGGAGACTAGCTCATCCATATCCCACAGCTCCCAGCGCAGTCAGCTGGTGGACTTGGTAGTGGAGGACCACAAAGCAGAGGAGGCGGAAAGAGTGCATACACAGAAGGCGTTCGGATCGACCTGGCTGGAGCCCGACCAGAGGCACTTCCAGTATGTTGCAACATCTCATATATCTCATCATCCTGCCGCGGAACGGAACAGCACTGACCTCTCATTTAGGAGACCCTCTGGGGAGCCAGTTGATGAACGGCCAAGCTATCTTGAGAATAGCGCGGATGGCACGATAGAGAATACCAGGGCTGCAAGCCCAACCGATCGAGCAGAGGATGAGGAACCGACGACGCGGCCAAATTGGGCATACGGAGGGCTGGAAGAGGAGAATGTGTGGGATCGCTAGGAGAGCAGAGCTTGCTTCATGCACAGACCCATCCCCACCAATTTCAGTGGCTTTATTACATATGGGGGCGCATCTGCAAATATTTCTTGAAGCATAGGATATGTAAGATGAATGAAACCATGAAATGTTTTATCGATACGAGAAGACAGGAGATGAAGGATGAAACCAGGGGAAAGCTGCGAAAGTTGATTTTGGGGGGGACACTACAGTCAGGCACCGAGTATCTAAATTTGTTTCCGTCTAATGAGTGATCTGGTGTGTGTGAAGTGTGAATGCCACCTGCTGCTGGCCGGATCACACATCCTCAGCGATCCGAGCAAATGGAGGGCAACCATTAGGCGCCGAGAGGGTGACATGGCTATCAGTTGATGGATTGATGGCTGATCGACACGCCGACACGCTGTCGAAGAGGGGCAGATCGTGGCGGTTATTGGTTGCCAGCTAGTTTAGCGGGTGCCTTGGACTGCATGGCACCATCTCTTTAGCTGCTCTGCTACTTCCAATCTCCCATTATTGATGAATCAGGGGGACAATAGCATCAAGCGGTCGGCGCTTTTTTTGTTGTTTACTACTTTGACACTTATCGCGGGGAGGGAAATGGGACAGTTGGGAGAGATGGTTGGTCACCATAACCCTACTCTTGTCCCGCTTCCCTCCTTCATCTTCCTGCTTATTTACTCGCTTTCTTTGTTTTACTTTTAACCTTCCCAGCCTCTCTTTCTCACTCACACTCTCATATCAGCGCCCTCGTGGGCCCCCCCTCCTCCTCCCGGACCCTCCGATTTAATTCTCCTGCATCCCCGCTGGGCAGATGTCTCGTATTAGTGTTTCATTGACCTGCTTCGTGCATCGCCTGCTCGCGCCTTTGCTGCCTGCCTTTTCTTCCGGTCCCCACCCAGTCCTCCCTCTCTGGCCACTGGGCGATGGAGCATCACTGCTGATGCGCTGGCAGCCATGATGCAGGCAATTGAGCAGGCAGGCTCCATATTCACTGGCTGGATATCTTCCTGTTTGTTCTGCCTGAGCGGGAGGGGCGACGATGAGAGCTTTCATCATCAACAGGCTATGAAGCAAAAAGGTATAGCTTTCCCCATACTTTCCTCTCCCACAACTCCTCCCTCTCAGACATGGGGACTGACTGTCGTCCCTTGCAGGTGTCGAACGAGAAATGAAAGTATGCCATACTCAACCACATCTCGTTCCTCCGATGAACCTCACCGGCTATGATGACTTGCCCAGTCCAAGCCCTCAGCCTCGGGTATCATCGCTACAGTCATGGGTGGTTGAGGGCAGGACCCGGGCATCGCGAGCATCGAATCGAGCTAGCATGTCGCTCAAAAGGAAGTCAACTGCTCCCGTGAGGATCAGTGGACCCTCGGAGTTTAGAAGAGTCTCAATGTTCTTGACTGAACTGGATGAATATCGTCCCCTGGAGTTGAGCTTCAATACCCCAGGTAACAGGCTCCCGGATCTTCCGAGATTTGACGACTTCCCTCTCGAGCACGACCACAAGCAGGTCATTTCACGACCCCCGCAGGCTCTCTCGTCCACCGAAATGGGCCGGATATCGCAACCGCGAACTCACCGACCCTCTTCGTCGTTCCAGCTTGCGAGAAAGCCGGTCGGGTCAGGCTCCCGTCGGTCTTCATTGCCAACCCAAGAACAGCTCCAGTTATTAGAGAAGAATCCTCCCGTCACCAGTCCCTTAATCCCTCATTTTTCACAACGTAGCTCTGCGGCCACTGGCTTGACCGCAAGTGCGATTCCTTCTACCACTCCCAGGCTGGATTTAATTGGTGGCAGCACGTCCCTGGCTAGGAACGAGCTACACCGGGACACCCACAAGGCCTCTACATCCTCGCTCCCTAGGACTCCCACCAAACCCAGCCTGCAGGACAGGCCCTTACCTTCTATTCCGACTGAGGAGGATTCCCCTTCTTCAGGCAGTACGTACCACCCACCTACCACTCCCTCCGAAAGCCGACCTCCGACCACTCCCTCGGAGAACCCCAATCGAACCCCAACCCGCTCGGGACGTGTTACCCAGTGGCTCTTTCAAACGCCCACCAAGCCAAACTTCCTTTTCTCCAACCCAAGCAAAATCAGCGACAAGGGGCCATTTCGCATCCGGTCGCGGACGCTGAGCGGCTCTACGCTCGCATCAACCATTACCAATCTCACCGGAGGGCACAAGGCCACCCCGTCTCTCGCCAGCGGCACGACAGTAGCCCCAACGATGCCAACATCGAGCACTGAATCACGGAATTTTGACCTTCCTCTTGGCAGCCCATTCTCACCTAAGCAGACCTTTCCAACCGTGACAGAAGAACACAACTATCCCACAATCTATGAGGGCGAACAGCCACAGCACCAGGAGCCCGAAGTCTATGACGAGATGCTTACCCAATATTACGAGTATCGTCATTCCGCTGTTGGTGTAGCATTTTGATCTGTCCGGTTCTTTTCTTCTTTACTGTCATTCAAATTAAAGCTTTTCACTTTACCTCTCGGTCAACGGCCTTGATTTGCGTACTACCCTTTTGTCGATATTTATACCCCTGCTCATGGGAAGTATTTATCCTTTCCAGCCTTAATGATCCAGTCGCTTACAGACCCTACTTTGGAGGGTCGTTCCTATATACGCTCGCTTTCTTTACATACCCCAGCAGCAGCAATGTATCTGATACCCTCTTGGTTCTACATATGTGCTTTTCGCTTCATCTGGGCTTCAGCTAGATAATATATCATGAATCAACAAGTGTTTCTGGTCCATAAACTAGCTAGGTTATGGGCAAGGCAAATGAGGCCACAGCTGCGCAATAGAGGGACAGTTATTCTAGGAAAAAAGAAGACTAAGTTGCACAGTCAATCACAGCGCAATCCATTATTCAACCCTATTAATTTTAACTAAGAATAATACATTCCTCATTCTTCCCTATGGGACCTTAGTCAACTCAATCGCCCTTTTCCTTGTAACCCGTCGGGATGAGAAATAAACACAGCTATCACGCGTTCTGAACCGTTGACTGCAATTTGGTACTCCCTGATCCGTAGTAAGACTGAATGCCCTGTAGAATTCATCTTGAGAGTGTGCTTCTGCGGGTCGAATATCGGCACTATCAACAGTTTGCCATCGTCAGCATGTCTCAACCTCGTCGGCCAGAGTTTGTTGAGAATAGCAATATATCAGTCATCTAGTCTTACCAGTGACAAGGGGGTTGAAACCCACCTAATCAAGGGTTAAATCAACTAAAATATTAGAAGCGTCAGAGAAACTTACTTCTCGTACAGTTGTGAATGCGAGACGATAACATAACATCCTCCATATTTTTAGATCATTGTAGAGGACCCTGAAAACTGTTATCACTTTCAATATTAGTACCCTGACACTGCGCTCAATATGTCGTTACTAGGTCCAGCATTTCCCTTAGTAAGTAGCTAATCAGCGCTGGAACTCGTCGACGCCGAGTTGAGTAGTCGATCTTGAGTAGTCAGTGTTAAATAGAAATCTTTTTTATATTAATAGTATGGAACAATCCACTTTGGAAGAAGATATTATACTATGGTGAATATTCGTAAATGGTACTAGATGTTTCCTTACCATATATGTCATACTGGCTTTATATAGTAGGAAGTAGTATCTCCTGCTGAATCAACAGCAGGTCTAGCGCATTCTGAAGGGTGACTATATACTAATTAGTCCTCTGGGTTGCTTCACTAATAGTATAGCGCGGAGGCACTCGAGTACCATCGTGGCATGAGAGAATGTATATACATGCGGTACGTAAATAAATATGGCCGTACGCCCACGGAAGAAACAATTCCAGTCATTGTGGTTCAGTGATAGTAGTATCATTAGCTTTGGTGGTAGACTGGAATGTGTAGACGCCTTATGATATAGCTCCTGGGGCTCTGCTTCGGCTGGAAGAGTGTTTGGTACCAATGAACTATATCTTGTGGCTATTGCGAGGAGCAACCTCCAGTATTTGTTGGATCAATACTATCGGATCATTGTGGGCTTTGATATGAGTGTAGTACTATTGTATACTACTATCTTCTTTGGCTTGCATACATATATTGAAAGGATGATATTATATTGATCAGAGAAGATGAAAGATCGGATAGATGTAGAAAGCAGAAGATCGCGCTCAATGAGAAGGCTTAAATAGGGAGAAACCACCATGGTTGGGAATGACAGTGGCAAGTGACTTCCCAAGGCCAATGGGAGAATAGTGAAGAGCCCTGTTTGAGTGAAGTAGTAGCTGGAGTAGTATATTTACAGATCCCGTACAATATGGGATGACTGTATTTCTGATGCATCAAATGGAGCATTCTTCATGGCTAATAATTATCAACTGTCAGGATTCAACCAACGACTGATGCCTTCCTCGAAATAGCAAAATTAGATTAACTTGGAAAAGGTCAAGATCTGAGTTGGGGCCACCTGATCGCGAAAGGAATGCGGATGTTCTTGGGAAGTTGAAAACCTCCTTGACTCAAGCGCTGCTATCTGAACTTAGTTAACTGAAGCACCAGCAGAAAGTAGTAGTTTTGTGTGCGAGTAAAGTTAACCCTGTAGACGGACATCAAGCAAAGGCCAATTTAACTGGCTGAGATATGAACTACTGCCTCAGATAGTATACTACTATATCACGAAGGTGGTGAGCATTAAACTTAAGGCCTCATCTTACAGAAAGTAGACCTTCCCTTATAAAATAAGCAGAGAATGTGACATGAGCAAAGACTGGTATAGCAGTAATGTCTCTATTTGAATGTCCAGTTGCAGCTGTCCGTATCGAAGGGGCGTCTTGCTCGAAATTATATGGCATATATCATTACTTATTCTTAGTACTATAATCTTTTTAACAGCAGAAGTCCAGACTTCTCTTGGGTTGACAGTGAGAATACTTTGTGATATGAAATGAGGTTGTTTTTCGGAGGTTCCAATTCTACGTTTGTTCTGAAGATAGCAAAGAAGTGCGTATCTACAGAAAAATGTATCAAATGTGACTTGTGCCACTTCCAGGTAATATCGCCGTGTGTGGAAGACAAAGTCTCAATCGAGTGCGATGGACAAAGACAGTCTTGAATCGCTTGCATATTATTACGAATGGCAGGCACCATTTAGACTTGACACTCTGCTGAAGGGATTTCACACCATTTCTAAATATAGTAGTTGCCCTCAGATTGAAATCATATCTAAGCTAGGCTACTCCGTAATATAGAGAGAACATCTTCAAGAATTCCTCCTAAGGCCACCTCCAGGGGCATAGGCTTCAAAGTTATTGAGGATGTGTTATTACTACAGGTCTCCAATTACTACTTAGGCAAAAGTGGCTTTTGGTGGGAAACACGATGGAAGACTTTTCTAAATAGGCTATCTGTAGAGTTTGTTCTTTCAGGGTGTCATCTCTGAGTGTCAGCAATAACGCACTGTCAGGTCAACAGCGTTGTTCAGGAATCAAATGACAAATCCAGGATCTGGATCTTTTTGATTCTTACAGCTCTAATGCTCCCGGTAGGCGGGCATTCTTCAAGCGGGCGGTCCCTCAAGAATGAACATGCCAACCCTGATAAATCGGGCATGCACATTCCCAATTGCTCGCGTCGGCCAATTGGAACGTCTGGCAGTACCCGCGACCAATGCAGCTGGAGAACAGCCACGTGCTTGAAGGAGGAGAGGAAGTTGGGATCATTGCTGTCGCGCAAAGATGATGTATACCGGCCATCTCAAGGAATGATGAATACACGGCGGTTGGGATCCTTTAAGTTATCGCTCATGTCGTCTACGAGCGAGCAATTCCCCTCATGGTATCATGCTTCAGTATTCATCAATTAAGCTTTGTCGCAAACGATTCTAGTAAAGAGGCAGATCATCTTTCACCATGGGTCGCTTGGTGAACTACTTCCCCACGATAACAGCGTTTATCGCTTTTATCCTCACTTTGTTATGTCTCTTCGCAGGCACACAATTGACGGTGCTCCCAGGTGTCGATATATTCACGGTTAGTCTAAGCCCCGATCGACCCCTCTAATTGCACGTTAGTGTCTAGTCGGTCAGCTGAGATACCTCAATATAGGTTCTTTCTTCAGAACAAAGTCGAAATACGGGGATACATGACTTCTACTCCATCTATGTGATGTCCTATTGCGAAGGAGATCTCATGACAGGCAACAGACACTTCTCAAACTGCTCCAAAGCCGCATTGCCCTTTGCCTTTGACCCCTCCGTGGTGTTGTTGAATGAAACCGGTAACACCACTTCACTTTCGAACCTGGGATGGCCCGATGCCGTTACAGACGATTTCCATGCGTTCAGCATGACCAGCCGGAGTATAGGGATTTTCTACTGCATCGGAGCCGGGGCTGCAGGCTTGGCGATAGTGGGCAGATTGTATTGGCTGGTTCGGCGCGGACCACGGCAGTCCGTCATGGAATTAGCGGCATTGCTGGTAAAGAGCCCTCCCCAGACATATGATTGGGATGATCCCAGCACTAACCACGTGCTAGCTGGGGTTTATCATGCTCGGAATTTCCTCGATTATTGCGACGGTTATCGCGTTTCAATTTGTCGATCTTGTCAATGACCATGGCCGCGATATGGGTGTGAGTGCCGAGTACGGACCCCAATTTTTGGGAATGACTTGGGCCGCCACAGGGTTGATGTTGACGGGAGGCATCACCAGTTTATTGACGGTGCTGGTCGACCGGAGCCGAGCAGAGACAGGCACCCTTGCAGGTGACTGTGATGATCAAGCCAAGTCCCTCATGCACTCGGACTATGAATCAGTCAAATCCAGTGCGGAACCATCTCCCGGGGTGGAGACAGAAAAGGAGGGAAATCAGTGATGGAAAGAAGAGGAATAGGGATTGTATTTGATGGAAAGGGTAGATAGTGCGGATAGAAATGAATGGAAATGCAAGGAATAATCCAGCCAGGCTATAGAACATGAAGCTATTGGGTTTGTCTTGGGGATAAGAGGGAGCCGGATATAAAGACCCACAGAAACCCCATGAAAGGGATTCTACGGCCGTCCATTGTTGATCGCATCCACTGGGGGTAACCGACGATAGTGTGGTACAGTGCAGCGTAGCGTTGCTTGGGGGGAAGAACCGGTCACGTCACCAGTGGAGCAGGATTGGGCTCGGGTCGAATGACGAGGGCGCATGGCCTCCCTTGGCCCCTCCGGTGCTGCTCGTTCCCGGCATCGTCCAGCGCTAACAGTAGAATCTCTTTGAATTATCCATTCCATCGCTGGCCTGACACCAGCGGTGGGTCAACCCCTGGTGGATACTCGATTCGATTCCATGATGATGATGTTAACGACCGGTTGGACGATGATGATAGTCAGGGGAATGATGTAGGAGACCTGAGACCAGAACCAACAAGCAGCAGCCACCAGCCCATTATAGGTCAGCGATCGGAGTATAGGTACACAGTGTTCAGGGAAGATGACTTGTTGGAAAGAGAAACGGGTTAGAACCGGCTGGGATGAGATACTGTGAGATGACTTACAGTAGCACCACTAGTTGTACGTAGACTATTGTTAGTCCATGGCCATCGGGCCAACGGGCCAACGAGCCATTAGTTTATCGCGTCGTCAACCTCACGATGGCACAGTTGCACATGCGACAAGGACCGGATTGTCTGTGGGTGCGGAATCAACCGGGACCTTGACAGTGGCCGTGTCTGATTGGGATAGAAGGCAAAGTAAGGGGAGGCGTGCAGGGCTTGAAAATGCCCGCATGGCCAATCCGCTTTGGGCCTGCGTCATCGCCGCTCATTGGAACGGCCGGCTCTGGTCCTGTTTGGAAGGGCTTGGATTGGGCCTCATCGTGATCCATTAAGTCATAGTCAGTTAGTCTAGTTCACTTTTACTTGGATCATAGTAGTCACTGTGTGTGTCTTTTTCCCCCACTTACTGGAATTGGCCCGAACATCGTGAAAAGTCTCGGTTTCATTCACCGTTGCACTTTCCCGTTGTTTCCATCGTGACTGCCTCATTCTCTCTTATTTCGCTCATTATACTTTATATACCCCTCCATTCCCCCTCTTCTTCTCTCCATCCTCTCCTCTTTAATTCTCAACCTTCCTTTGTCTTCAACACCACTCTTCTTTTCGCGATATCAAATCACCTTTCATACTATTGATCAACTTCTTCACTTGATCAGTCTTCCACTTACTCTACCTCAGCCTTAACCCCCTTCTACTAAGTCATACTTCCACTACATCATGGGAAAGAAGGCCATCCAGTTCGGCGGTGGTAACATCGGCCGTGGCTTCGTCGCCGAGTTTCTCCACAAGGCAGACTATGAAGTGGTCTTTGTCGATGTCATGGACAAGATGGTCGAGGCTCTACAGCAGAACAAGTCGTACAATGTGACTGAAGTCAGTGAGGAGGGTGAGCACACCACCACCATCACCAACTACCGTGCCATCAACTCCAAGACCCATGAGAGCGATGTCATCCAAGAGATTGCTACGGCTGATGTCGTGACCTGTGCCGTGGGCCCCAACATTCTCAAGTTCATCGCCCCTGTCATTGCCAAGGGTATCGATGCTCGCACAGAGTCTAAGCCTGTCGCTGTTATCGCCTGTGAGAATGCCATTGGTGCTACCGACACCCTGCACGGCTTCATCAAGCAGCACACCAGCCAGGACCGCGTCGAGACCCTGTACGACCGCGCCCAGTTTGCCAACTCTGCCATTGACCGCATCGTCCCTCAACAGGCCCCCAACAGTGGCCTCGACGTCCGCATTGAGAAGTTCTACGAATGGGCTGTCGAGAAGACTCCCTTTGGCTCTGTCGGCCACCCAGACATTCCTGCCATCCACTGGGTCGACAACCTGGAGCCATACATTGAGCGCAAATTGTTCACCGTCAACACCGGCCATGCTACTACTGCCTACTTTGGTCACTTCCGGGGCAAGAAGATGATTGCCGACGCTCTGGAGGACAAGGAGATCCGTGGACTTGTTCACAAGGTTCTTGAGGAGACTGCCTCACTCATCGTGGCTAAGCACGACATCTCAGAGGAGGAGCAGAAGGAGTACGTCGATAAGATCGTCAGCCGCATCTCCAACCCTTATCTGGAGGACAATGTCGAACGCGTGGGTCGTGCTCCCCTGCGCAAGCTATCTCGCAAGGAGCGTTTCATCGGACCGGCTTCGCAGCTGGCCGAGCGCGGCATGAAGTATGACTCTTTGATGGACGCTGTCGAGATGGCTCTGCGCTTCCAGAACGTGCCTGGTGACGACGAGAGTGCCGAGCTCGCCAACATCCTCCAAGAACAGTCGGCAGAAGATGCCACCAGCAACCTCACCGGCCTGGAAGAGAAACACCCTCTGTATCCTGCCGTGCTGGAGCGGGTGCGCAAGGTGCAGCAGGGGACGAAGTAAAGGCATTGCTGTTGTTGCACACTGTCTTCTTTAATGTTCACGATTACGATTACGAAAACTGCGAAAGCGTTCCGAGTCGATCACCTGCATGTACAACTGGCCACGCCGCAGGACGGTGACAGGCCATATGGGATACGGCGAACACTGGTCGGCGCGGATATGGAGCATGGGTATGGAAACGGATTAGCATAGTCATAACATGATAATGATGTACATAGTTGCAGGCAACTAGCACGAATACATGACTGAACATGAATCTATGCCAGGTCTCACAAACAGTAACCGATTTAAATCTTAACCTGTTGCTTACAACTTACTATCCCTCCAGACGGGCTTCCTCTTCTCCACAAACGCCCTCAGTCCCTCCCTAATATTCTCCCCCTGATTCAACTTCTCCGACCACCCCTCCATCAACATCCCCGTCGCCTCCTCAACCCCAACCCCCTCCCACCCCAACTTGACTCCCTCCCGACTAACCAACACCGCATCAGGACTATTCCCCGCAATCTGCACCGCAACCTCCACCGCCCTCTCCACCACCCCTTTCCCACCATCATCACCAACAATCTCATTCACAATCCCCCACCTCTCCGCCTCCTCTGCAGTAACTTTCCTCCCCGTCAACGCCATCTCCATCGCCCTCTGCCGTCCCACGATCCTCCCCAGCCGCGGCAACGCCCCCGCCCACGCCACCACCCCGCGCTGCACCTCCGGCAACCCGAAATACGCTTTAGAAGAAGCGATCACCATGTCGGCGTTGAGCACCATCTCGCATCCGCCCCCCAGACAGAGCCCGTTCACTGCGCAGATGATAGGTTTCTTTCCGCTCCGTCGGGAGAGACCCCCGAAGCCGCTGGGGGGCATGCCTGGGGTGGTGGGGGTGGTGGTGGATGATGATGTGGGGGTTTGGACGGTGGTGTTCCATTCTGTATATTATAGGTGAGTATCATGCTGAATGAATAAGGGAGAGAATGTTGGTGAGGTGAAGAATGGGGTAAGGGTAAGGGTATACCTTTAAGGTCTGCGCCCGCGCAAAACGCCCTCCCGGAGCCGGTCAATATGCCTACTCTTATTGAGGGCTCATTGTCCATCCAGGTCCAGATGGCGTGGAGGTCGTGGTGGCCCGCGGTGGAAATGCTGTTTAGTGCTTTGGGTCGGGAGAGAGTGACGAGGAGGACGTGTGGGTGGGGGAGGGAGAGGGTTATGGTGTTTGAAGTGGGGGTGGGGAGGGTTGGTGCCATTTTCTTTTCTTTTTTACCCTTCTTCTTTGAGAATTGTATGGGTTTGGGTATGGTGAGGGTTATGGTTTCAAGGTAGGTAGGGGGAGGAGTGGTGTTGTTATAAAGGTGTTTGATTGATTGACTACGGGACTTTAATCATGCCGAGGTTCGGTCGGATGTTATACTTAAGGTAAGCTGGTTAGTGGTTAGATTGGAATGCGGAGAAGACGGACGGACTTGCCGCTAGACTAGTCGGTTCTGTGGTTAGTCCGGTGGGTATCGGTTCCGATTATTGTCTCCTGTTTTATGGTTGACTGTAGCTAGTTAGTAGCTACGTGGAAGTTGTAAAGAATAAAATAAGGTCTGTTTATTTTATAGTTAATTGAAGGATTAATTCGTCCCTTGTATAGATAAACTATATGTCCATCTACTTAATCACTTAATCAAATCCGTAAATCGTATCATCTACCTCACAACGCCGCAACTCCTTACACAGAACCACGTGGTATCCTGCTCATGCAAATCAGACGCTCAGCTCTTGTTGATCCAGCCGCTGTGTACCATGAAATCGTAGATTCGACTCGTCTTGGTACTGTCGACCTGTAGAAATCTTTGTCAGAATGCTATACGTCTCTGTATGTTGGCAGAGGGGAAAGAGGGTGGGAGGGCTACCTTGCAAATAGCTCGCGCGTCCTTCTTCTTTAAACTGCCGCCCTGCTTCATCGCCTCTTTCAATAAAGTCTCCTTAATTACTAGGTACGGCTTGGGCTGCATGTGCAACACATTGCACACCTCGACCTCCTCCTTGGTCAGCAGGTGCAGATCCGGTGCTCCCTCGTTCTCCAGCTTCCACGGAATCACTCCGTTCAGTGGCTGGATCACAAATTTGGTCTTCACTGGCTGCGGCGTGCTGATCCCGTCGCCATTGGTGGCTGCAAACGCCCGATCAAAATCGTTCATCGGCGGGTTGACAGGCTCTGGTGCTTTAGGCGCCCCGGACGCCTTTTGTAGGCGGAGAGGAAGCTCCGGGGTCGTCAGCTGACTGGCAGCGGACGGCTGTTCTGGTTGCTGCGACTGCTTCGTTGGTCGCGTGCTGGCGAACCGATCAAACGAGCCCTGCGGCACCATCCGCTGTGCCCGCTGTTGCTTCTCCTGTTCGTATTTCTCTCCGCCCTTGAGATCACCGATACCCATCTGGCGCCACTCCTGGAGCTGCGTGATGGCTAGCCGCAGGTTGTGCTCGTACTCGAGACCCTTGTTGAACTCTTCAAAATCATCGTGGTTCATCATCCGGGCAAACGGCTTCGCCTTGTTCAGCAAGTCGCGCTCCTCTTTCGTGCGCTTCTTCTCCAGTGCCGTGTTCTTGCGGTACTCGAGGAGGTTGTGCTCGAAGAGGATCTTCTTGCGCTCCGTACGCGCCGTAAGCCGCGAGTTATAGATATCCACCACGGTCATCTTCAATTCCATCTCCGCGTCTGTCTCGCCGTTCGCCGTCTCGCCCGCGCCAGGCTCAAATGTCATGTGCTGCACCGCTTCCTCAGCTTCGTTCATGAACTCTGTCTCAAATTCCAATCGACCCGGCATATAGCCCTGCACTTCGTGACAAGCCGGTACACTGGCAGTAGGCTTCTGCTTCGGTGTTGTGGGTGGAGCTGCCTTGGCCGCCTCTTTGCGCTCTTCAATGCGGCGTTTCTTCCGCGCCTGGAATTCTTCCTTCGATATGGCCTCCGAAAGGCGCTTGTCGTCCGGATCGGCGCGTTCCGGTAACGGGAAGTTCGGGCTATCGATATAGGCGCTGATGTAGTGGTCGCGAACCTCCTCCTTGGTGCGGTAACCACCAATGTGGTCTGCAATGTCCGCCCATGATCCCAGTCCGTAAATCTCGGCGCCTTCCAACAGCAGAAGCTCCTCGTCCGCACCCCAGTCCTCCTCGAAAATCGGGACTGAGTTCTGTTCAATCACCTGGAATGGATGCGTTGATGGGTCATGATTCTTGGATTTCTCTCCGGCAGCGAAGCAGGGGACGCAGAGATCGTATTCGTGGCAGGCGGGATGGGCGCAAGATACGCGAACCTAGAAAGAGACCAATAGATTAGGTTTAAGGCCGACAAGAGGCGAAGATTCTTAGAACACGGATCGCAGACTGTACCGTCGAAGTCACATCAACCGAGCAGATATCACAGTGATACTTGGTGCCCGCTTCAGTGCCGCGCGAGGCGGTCTTCTTCCGTATTACACCCATCGGTCGCGGGTCCCTTTCATCCTCCAATGTTCCCGGATCCGTTTCGACCACACCGACACGCCCTCCAGTGAAATGAGAGGGCAAATTGAAACTAATGAGAAAAGAGTGATGCGCGTCGGGTATGAAGGTGATGGTCCGGAGAACGACGGTAGCGCAAAGGGATGTACGTCTCCGCAGTCGATGAGCGGGGGGAAATGCCGGGGAAACAAAGGTGGAGTAACCTTGAGGGCTCAACGTCAGGTTGGTCCCAAAAAAGTCGATCCAGCACAGACAAGAACCGTAATACCAACAAGGTTTCTGGGGATGGCTGAAGGATTGTGATAGTAGCAGTTTGTAGTGAACAGGAGACTGGTCGCGTATCGGCGGACGGACGATTCGAGGTTCTGGGGGTGGGCGGTGGCTAAGCTCTGAGGCTAGTGCACTTTGTGGTTACTTGATCGGGACTAGACTACGATCTGGGAATGCACCGCCTCAGGGTGACAAAGATTCATGCCCCAGGCACACATTCAGGCAACGGGGTTCCTGGACCAATGAAGGACGGAGTGGCGGCGACTTATTCTATTCAGAGTTCAGCCTCGCTCAGTCCCTTTCCCACCTTCATTCATTCACCCCCTCTTCCCTTCCCCCCCCCTCCTACTCCTCCTCCCCCCATTTCCCAATTCTTTCCCCCCCAATTCGCCTTATCAACTGTCTCTCCCTAAAAAAGTCACTTCCCGGGTCGATCCTCCTTCTCGTCGTTCCATCGTGTCCCCGACCCTGGTTCTACTTTCATCATCATTTCGTTTGTTCTTCAAGCGTCTTGTACAGTTTGCGGGTGTTCCCCTGTTCCCGCCCGATCGGTGGTTCCTGAAACTACTTACTACTACTACTACTTACTTACCCTCGCCCTCCTCATTTCCTCTCTCTCCCTCCCCTCTCTTCTCCTCCCTCGTTTTTCTGTGTCGCTGACTGACCGCTGTGGCTGTGGCGGTTCTGCATATTATCACTGCACTTGACTGGTCTGGCTCGTTCTGCCCTTCTTCTCTGCCAGGCCTCCGACCCAGTTGTTGGCCTCCTATTCCTCTCTCTCCTTTTCCTCTTCCTTAAAACCGTCGGAAGACTGTTCAAATTGATCCTCTCTTTTCCTGTTCCTTTCCTCTCTCTCTCCTCCCTTTCTCCAAACATATACACACCCTGGATTCGCTTGTTAGAACATCCCTATGACAATGTCGTGGAAACTCACTAGAAGTATGTGCGATGTTTATGCCCGGTTGTGTTTCCTTTGTCCCGGCATATCGGATGCTAATGAATTAATTCCCTCATACAGAACTAAAGGAGACGCACTTGGCTCCTTTGACCCAAACATTCACCCGATCCTCCTCCACATCCACCATTAAAGGTGATTCTGGCGAAGAGACCCCCGTTGTTTCGCAAACTCCCAGTATCTCCACAACAAACTCCAATGGAATCAGTATGTTGTTCCCATTCTCTTCAGTTCTCTGCCGACCGTCTAACACTTTCCTAAAGACGCCTCGGAGTCGCTTGTCTCCCCGCCCGTGGCCCCTGTCAAGCCCGGAATCCTGATCGTCACCCTCCACGAAGGTCGAGGCTTCTCTCTTTCCCCCCACTACCAACAGATCTTCAACTCTCATTTCCAGAGCAGCGGTTCCTATGGCATGCGTCCAAGCTCTTCGTCATCCCACTCGGCACACGGACAGGCCGCCTCCTACGTCCCCAGCGGTCGCCCTCAATCCACCAGCGGAGGTATCAATGCCGCTCCGACCTCCCACGGTCGTTATTCGACCAAGTACCTCCCTTATGCCCTTCTGGATTTCGAAAAGAACCAGGTTTTCGTCGACGCCGTTTCTGGTTCCCCCGAAAACCCCTTGTGGGCTGGAGACAACACGGCCTATAAGTTTGATGTGTCGCGCAAGACGGAATTGAACGTTCAGTTGTATCTGCGGAACCCCACGGCTCGTCCTGGCGCTGGTCGCAGCGAGGATATCTTCCTCGGCGCCGTCAAGGTACATCCTCGTTTCGAAGAGGCTCAGCCCCATGCGGAGGATCCCAAGTCCAAGAAGACGCCGCAGGAGCGCCAGCTGGGCCAGCTGGGCGCCGAATGGCTGGATATGCAGTTCGGCACCGGTTCCATCAAGATTGGTGTCTCGTTTGTCGAGAACAAGCAGCGCAGCATGAAGCTGGAAGACTTCGAGTTGTTGAAGGTTGTGGGTAAGGGTAGTTTCGGCAAGGTCATGCAGGTCATGAAGAAGGATACGGGTCGGATTTACGCCCTCAAAACTATCCGCAAGGCGCACATCATCTCACGGTCGGAAGTCACCCACACCCTCGCCGAAAGATCCGTGCTCTCTCAAATCAACAACCCTTTCATCGTCCCTCTCAAGTTCTCCTTCCAGTCTCCGGAGAAGCTGTACCTCGTCCTTGCTTTCGTCAACGGCGGTGAGCTGTTCCATCACCTTCAGCGCGAGCAGCGCTTCGATATCAACCGGGCCCGGTTTTACACTGCCGAGCTGCTCTGCGCGCTGGAGTGCCTGCATGGTTTCAAGGTCATCTACCGTGATCTCAAGCCTGAAAACATTCTTTTGGACTACACTGGCCACATTGCTCTGTGCGACTTTGGTCTGTGTAAGTTGGACATGAAGGATGAGGATCGCACAAACAGTAAGATTACTCCTGCTCCCAACCGGAACTCGTCTAACCTTCTACACAGCGTTCTGTGGTACCCCTGAATACCTCGCACCCGAGCTTTTGCTTGGAAACGGATACACAAAGACCGTTGACTGGTGGACGCTGGGTGTCCTCCTTTACGAAATGTTGACGGGTCTTCCCCCCTTCTACGATGAAAACACCAACGATATGTATCGGAAGATCCTTCAGGAGCCCCTCACTTTCCCCAGCACGGACATTGTTCCCCCGGCCGCTCGGGATCTGCTGAGCCGACTGCTCGATCGCGATCCTCAACGTCGGTTGGGAGCCAACGGCGCAGCGGAGATCAAGTCGCACCACTTCTTCGCTAACATCGATTGGCGCAAGCTTCTCCAGCGGAAGTACGAGCCCAGCTTCCGTCCGAACGTGGTATGTAACCCTTTCTTGTGGCTGACGTTATGAT